TTCGTACGGGGGGGGGGGGGGCTAACACTGATTGTTATTTGATACTTTAATAATTCCCTCTACCTCGACTAAGTTGGCATATTATATAACAATCATACTGACCATTGAGCCAGTCCATAACTCGCAATCGAAAATAACCTTGGACAATGAGCCACATACTGCTTCACCAATCCTTAATCATCCCCAAATCTCCTCCTTTCAGACGAGGCAAGCTTCGACGAGGACGCCTACTACTCGCGGCTGGGCACGCGGCCCCCGCTAGACCCCGAGGCGCCTGGGGAGGCGTCATTATTCTTGTATACAGTAAACGCATTCCCCTGCCTGATTACGTATCTGGCACTTCATCGGATCCACAGTCACGACACGAGCTGCGGCCAAATTTACGCTGATAGTGCTCAGTTTTGATTGACAGTCGGAGGGGAATTCATTTTTAATGTTCAATGTGCTTTTCGTGTGCAGGTACATGCACTACGAGAAATATTAAACAATGTCTCCTAATGGCAACCTCAAATGATTTTTTTATCATGGGAATTGTTGATCGAGCTCCAATGTGATTTGAATTGAAAATGTGTACTGAATTTTCAAAGATTAACTGGTTGCCATATACGTATGCTACATTTACATGATATTAAAGCAAATTTTATTCCACCGCTATGCGCGTCAAGTCATTTTCCCACCAAAGAAATCAAGTGCAGGGAATTCAAACACCGGTTGTTTATTAAAGCTTCGAACAGAATCCTCTTCCCAAAACAATTTTTTTTCCCTCACCCCCTTTCAAAAGGACAGGAAAATTCAGTTGTGAAGAGTTGACACAGCCTGAAAGCTGAAAAAAAAATATTTCAGACAAATAAAAACCATCAACGAGAAGTTATTTCCATGTAAACATCTGCACCTCACCCCCTTCCAAAAGGACAGGAAAATTCAGTTGTGTAGAGTTGACACAGCCTGAAAGCTGAAAAAAAATATATTTCAGACAAATAAAAACATCAACGAGAAGTTATTTCCATGTAAACATCTGCAATAAAACTACAGCAAATTTACAACACTGCCCTGAGCTGAGAAAAAAAACTCTCAATACTAATCAAATTGACTCTATCTAAACCAAAGTCAGAGTCATTCCCAGGCAGCGCAACGATCGCTTGGACCCGTGCGATCAATTCAAGCGATGAAGTTGTAGACAAGGAAGGTGGGCGTGCCGCAGTACGCCGTCGCAAACTGTTTGCCGTCCGGCGTCGGGTCGGAGAAGGCGATTTCCTCCTTTGTCAGGTGACTGCCGTACATGAAGGTGCTCCTTGAACGGAAGGGAATGTTGTAGGTGTAACCAATGTCAACATCGGACTTGAGTTGCTATATTTAGCAATTTTTCAGACTTATCTAAGCAATTATTTTTTTCCCCAAAACATTTTACAGTCTGTCTTTCGAGTCGGTCTCTATTTAAGCCAACTTGTATAAATGAGACGACTAACAGTGACACAATCTCGTAACGTCAGTTAGAACACAGCCGGTGGTAACCGAGGCCCCAAAATGGCCGCCTACCTGACCGTGTCCAACATGCGGCGGGCGACGCCCTGGCGCCGGGCCAGGCTGAAGACCCACACGCGACTGATGCCGCAAAGCGCCTTCTCTGGCACGGTGGAGCAGCACCACGCCCGGTGCCGGTCCATGAAGTCGTCTTTGGTCATGTCCTTGATCTGATCCGGCTGCTCCAGGACTTTGAAGGCCTACGGGGGAGACAAGAAGTTGTTCTTCCTCAACCAAACTCATCCAAGCATTCTTCGAACAGGATTTTTTGCAGATAGCAAATCGACTAAATCAATAAGGTGATGATTTCATACTGCCAATACTCGTATTCACTCGCCTTTTTTTTATGTCATCAAAATGTCCTTCAATAGATCTTAAGTTTTACATGATTGAAATGTCCTTAAAGGCACTTCTTCCTTCAAGCAGAAGATAAACCGGAAAAGGACCCCCGCCCCCCCCGCCAAAATGTTTCCATTTGGCTGGATGCGAAAAGTGATCCCACGTGTCGAACCGCTGACCTGCCGTATGGATTCTGCCACCAGGCAGCCCACCACCATCCGATCGTTGTTGACAAACAAGTAAGTCTTAGCCTGCGAGGGTCTGCTCAGCGTCGCCTGCTGGAAGCCCAACTCGTTGTCCGCGATGAGTCGCACCTCCTCCGCCTGGAAAAACAAATCTCATTAGACCGTGTGTCTTTCTGAGGTTTACTTTCACGTTTCGATAACCCCCAAAGGTTCACTCTGTCATCGTAGCGTTAACCTCCGATGCGTTTTCCATCAGAACTCAACAAAGTCCGGCCCCAAAGAAGTCAAATTCCTTCGCATAACCGTTGTGGCTTGCCGCATTCAGATACTGTAACTAGATGCGCTGTGACATGAATCGTAGAACTCTGGTTGTCGGGCGGCCCTTTACACTGTCAGCTTCTGATATGATGCCGGATGCCCAAATTTTTTCATTTGGGGCCAAATTGGCTAAAAATTAGACAAGATTTCATAAAACGAGTACACATAACCTTAAAAAAAAATGTCTGGAAACTAATGCACAGGATTTATAACGCCTACGAATCAATCAAATTCTTCTTGACAATCGTTTATTCCCAATTGCTGAACCGTGGCAGTCCCGAGTGGGAACGTACCTTTTTGACGGCGTACTTGGGATCATCTGGCATAACCAGAATGATCTTGCCGTCCCAGAACTCGCCCACCACCCTCTCCTTCTTCCAACCCTGGGAGGGGAGGGGGAAAAAACAACAACAAAAAAAAAGTCTTGACAAGTCATCTTCCTGTAGACAATTCAATGTTCTCCTCCCCTCCGACGCCGTTACCACAAATTTGATGGAGTCCAGAAGGCACTGGTGGAACTGCTCATGTTGGAAGTTGTCTTCTGGGTTGTCTGAGCTGTACACCATCCCGCAGGAGCCGCAGGTGGTGGCGCCAAATTGCTTCTGGCCTGCATCCTGGTGGGGAAAGCGTGGAGTGATTTATTCATTTTAAAGTCACGTGACCACATGACGTTAAAAAGAAGCCAACATACGATGATGAGTTGGTCGTCGTCATGCTTCTCCTTCCTCCTGCGGGTGGGTCGCTCTTTGGTGGATGATGACGGCCGAGTCTTGTCAGCAGGGGAGCTCTTGGAACTTTGTTCCACATCAAATATACATTGTTGGATTAGCATGACGGGGGCGGGGGGGATTGATGCAAACTGAGGCGGGACATTCCAAGGAAAAATTTGTCTCACCGTTTAGTAGCGGATCCGAAAATGGGATACACAGCCGGAGATTCTGGGCCCGGAAAAAAAAGGTTTTAGGTTCGCTTGGGCAGGATAACGCGTGTGAAAAGCATGTCTCATGCTTTTTTTCGTGCGGTTGATTTGCGGCGCTTACCTTTGGGCGGCGTCGAGGTCGGACTTTTGGGAATTGGGTCTCTGAGGTCACAAACGGGCTCGGAGCCGTCACCCTGGTCGCGACAAGTCAAACAAAAATATATACACGCATGAATAGGAAAAAATGAAACTCAATTTGGACATTTTGCATGCTACGCTAAGCTACCTGAAAAGCAAAGGATGAGATTCGAGATGTCGGAATCGGCACCCTTGTCAGCACAATTTTTAGCTCCGTTGTGATTTGGTGATTAGCGGTCACGGCTTGAGGGGAACTGAAGGGAGGGGGGGAGAAGGGAAAAAAAAATAAAGTAAGAACTGTTCCGGATATTTTGATGACTAGATTTCGCTTCACAAGAGGGACAGACACGGCAAAATTTGTTGAGTTTGAGTATGTCGAAGATAAAATGTTTCGGTACCAGAATAATATCAATTAAAGCTGCAGTGAAAATGGCCTCTTAGCATATTGGGAGGCGTGAATGGAATGCGGATACGTTTTTACCAGGTGTTTGTAAATTTTTTTATGAACTTCTTGGCCTGCTCGAAAGCTCCTAAATTGATTTAGCTGCCGAAAAAAAATTAAAACAGCAACCAAAATTGCGAACTGGGACAGGCTTGGTCAATCCCGCCAAGGATTTCCTAATACACACACATTTTTATCGAGCAAAATTTGATGAATTTCCAAGTATGTTGAAGCCTTTTAAAAGGATATTTAGTTGCCGTAACAACAAGAATTAAAGCAGCGGTAACCATTCCCAGGCTTGTTAGGTTGTGCGGGTAATCAAGTGACTAGTGAGCGCACATTGGATTAAAATAAAAATTTTAAAAAAGCACCTCGGCTGCTCTGGCGGCATGTCGCTCTCATAATCATACAATTCCAATTCCGGGTCACACTTTCTCCTGGTCGGCTCTGTTTTTTTGTCCACGGGCGGGATGGCAGTCTGAAGACCACAAAAATAATAAAAATACATTCTCGTTTGAAATCAAACTTGATCTCTTCTCCGTCGTTACCTTGGCGGGATTTTTCTGCGTTTGCTTTCGCTCTGGCTGGCGGGCCGCCGCCGCCGCCTGACTCATTGACTTGTCTGCTTTGACCGCAGCTTTGCCTTTGGCCTTTGCGGCGGACAGCTTCTTGTACAGGGATGACGGCTTCTTGGCTGTGCTGAAGAAGGCGGCGCCCACCAAAATCTTGGCTTTGGGCTTCTTCATGCCGCTGAAGGTCATGGTGATGGCCTTCTTGGGCTCAGACGCCTTCTGGTTGGCATTGCTGAAGTTCAAAAAAAAAAAAAGGTCAATGTTTACAACTCAGAGTAGCACAACTGCTTGGTGAGTGACATGGGTGTCAGCCAGTTAGGGTGAGAAAAAAGCTGACTGTGAAAAAAGTTAGATTTTATTTCAAGGTCATATTTGATTTGGGATTTTTTTTTTTTGTTTATTTTCAGTTCTTCTCTTTTGACACTTATGCAACGGCTAAGAATGTAATGGCGCCAGTTTCTTTCCCACAGCAGATAAGACCAGCATCTTGTGTTCATCCTCTTGTAACAAACCTGCTCCAATTCATCTTGGACAGCCTGATGGTCTTGTTGGACTCTGCGTAGTTTCTGATGCTCGACGCTGTCGCCGCCTTGGCCTGCTTGCCTTTTGCCGCCTTGGCCTGCTTGCCTTTCGCCGCCTTGGCCTGCTTGCCTTTTGCAGCCTTCTTGATTTTCGTCTCCGCTTTCTTGACCTGGCCCGGAGGAGGAGGAGGAAGTGACTCCTTCACTGCCTTCCTCTCTAGAGGTGTGAGATAGACGCTCTTTTTCGTCCCGTAGAAGGAGCTTGTCATCGTTGCCTGCTTGAGTGGAAAGCCTAAGGAGAATCACGGATAGAGCCGATGTTCAGATGGACGATTCCTCTAAGTTCTTTTGTCCTCCAATGCATTGATACCTGCTGCTTTACGAGGAGAGGTCCTTGGCGACGAGTGATTTTCTTTGTTCAAACATCCATTGGTATCCAGCTTCTTCCTGGGAGAGCTCCTCTTGATGGGCGATGCCTCCCTCTCACTCCTTTTGACCGGGTGACAGCCAGGAGAAACAAACAAGTGCATCAGATTCAACACCTCCTTCGTCTCCACAAAACGCTGATAAGATGCTCACCTGTCCGAATCCACAGAGGACAGTTTTCTCTTCCGAGTGCTCATGGGCATCATTTTGTCAACCGTTCACCTGCATGTGGACAATTATTATGATTATGTTAGAACAATAGTACGATTCATCATGAAGACGATAGGTCGAGGAAGACGAAGATCAATCCAACAGACAATATTAGACATATTTCAAGTCTTTCTATTACTGGAGACAAAATTCATTAAGGATCGTTTGTTGACTTTATCCTAACGTTAACCTCGAAGAAAAACTGCTTTATTTTACACTTTGAATAAATAAGACCAACCCGTTCATGAGCTCAAAGGTTGCGACGACTATTTGCGGGATTATTTGAAGAGAAAAAAAACGCAATGTTGGATTCCCATGCAGAGAATTTGAAACACTGCGATTGATCTCAAACCAAACAAGAGATGAGCGCTCACAGTTGATATTTTAAACGTAAAAAAATCATTTGAACAAATGAACCTCGAGAGAAGCGCGTCGAAGTAAGATAGCACGCTATTGCTACAACACGATGATCTCAAACGACGAAACAAGCATAGGATGTCTTACCTAAAACGCCTTAAAGGTTGAGGAGAAAATAATAGAATTTTCAGTGGTGGAAATGTTGTCATATAGGAGAGAAACAATGCGACATCGGCCGTTCTCCTTGCCCGATTTTCCTCAATGTGTTTTGAAAGGTGCGCGGCAGATCAATGCTGCGCAGTCGGAATTCGCGGGATTTACCACAAACACATCCGGTTGATTATTTGATAAATTAAACACCAAGACGCCGACAATAATGCCTACGTTTGAAATCTTGTTTTTTTTTAATCATTATTATTTTGTGAAAAAATAATGGAACCGACTAAACAGCAGTCTAAATGTTGAATAATACTTTTATTGTGAGGAACTAAATCTAGTGGTTCCGTGGCCTTGTCAGTAACTTCCGGGACTTCTTTTATAAAACTGCTGAAGTGCTTTATCTGAAAATAGAACATTAAGAAAGGGGTCTTTGAAATTTTAGATTAATAAACTTTAAAATATGCGTGAAAACACAGTCGAACTCATTATATCAAATTTTATGGTCAAGGCAATTTTGAATTTACTTCCGCGGCTTTGCCGGGTAACAACTTCCGGGTTCAACCTGCAGCTCCATGCGCGAAGTGACAGCAAAGTCAGTCAGGAAATAGTCCCACTTTTAAAAACCAACATTTTTTGTTTTGTTTTCTGAATGCAGTTCTACGTTCATATTTCATTATTTAATCACTTTTTAAAATCTCCTTAAAATGGTGTTTTACTTCACAAGTGCCGGTGAGTTTGTAGCCTTTTTAGCGATTAGCCCGCGTAGCTCCACATATTTATGCTCACGGTTTGCTGTCTCTGTTGTCGTCTTAGTGGTGGAGCCTCCTTACACCATTTACATGGGAAAAGACAAGTATGAAAGTAAGCTGACACACACAACAGTAATGGCTTTATTGTTGCATTTTCACTTAATCAACTACGTTACACTCAGACGAAGATCTCATCAAGTATGGTTGGCCTGAAGACATCTGGTGAGTTCTCCCTCAAGCACAAAAATCGAAATATTGTCCAAAGTAAGCATTGACATTCAATTGTGTTCTCAAATAAATGAAGTTTTTCCTCGATATCAATGTACTGAGCTGCACCCGTTCCAATTGAACTTATAATGGGACTTTTTTTTGTCATAGTAATCAAAATATATATATTTTTTGTGCCAGGTTTCATGTGGACAAGCTGTCCTCAGCTCACGTTTATCTTCGCTTGCCAAAGGTAAACCATCCATCCATCCATCCATTCATCTTCTACCGCTTCTCCGGGCCGGGTCGCGGGGGCAGCAGCTTTAGCAGGGAAGCCCAGACTTGTCTCCCTCTCCCTAACTACTTCTTCCAGCTCTCCCCGGGGGATCCCGAGGCGTTCCCAGGCCAGCTGGGTGACATAGTCTCTCCAGCGTGTCCTGGGTCTTCCTCGGGGTCTCTTCCTGGTGGGACATGCCCGGAACACCTCACCAGGGAGGTGTTCAGGAGGCATCCGAATCAGATGCCCAAGCCACCTCATCTGGCTCCTCTCGATGTGGAGGAGAAGCGGCTCGACTCTGAGCCCCTCCTGGATGACCGAGCGTCTCACCTTATCTCTAAGGGAGAGCCCGGACATCCTGCGGAGAAAACTCATTTCGGCCGCTTGTATCCGGGATCTCGTTCTTTCGGTCACGACCAATAGCTCGTGACCATAGATGAGGGTTGGAACGTAAATCGACTGGTAAATTGAGAGCTTCGCCCTTTGGCTGAGCTCCTTCTTTACCGCGACAGACCGATACAATGTCCGCATCACAGCAGACGCTGCACCGATCCGCCTGTCGATTTCTCGCTGCCTCCTGCCCTCATTCGTGAACAAGACCCCAAGATACTTAAACTCCTCCACTTGGGGCAGGTTCTCCTCCCCGACCCGGAGGGGGCATTCCACCCTTTTCCGACTGAGGACCATTGTTTCAGATTTGGAGGTGCTGATTTTCATCCCAACCGCTTCACACTCGGCTGCGAAACGCTCCAGTGAGAGTTGGAGAGCCCTGCTTGAAGGAGCCAACAGTACCACATCATCTGCAAAAAGCAGAGATGCAATACTGAGGCCACCAAAACGGACCCCCTC